TGATTCCGCACGATAAACTGTACGTAAAAAATCAGAAAAAGTAAAGTTGAAATAACTTTTCTAACTGAAGTGGGTAAAGAACATTAGACGACTATTTTAGCTATTTTAATATTATTGTTTATTTTATTAATAAAACATATTTAGAATTATATTTTTGTATAATTCATTAGATTATGTCAATTCAAATGTTTCAGACAAAATTTCATCAATTTCAATTGATTTAGCCAATTTGAATGTGACTAAACCAGCTATTTGTTTGTGAGAAAGGTGCTCAAACTAAGACTAAAGATTACATATTTACCCCTAATCTAATTAATTAATTAGTACATTTAATTTCCCTCTATTTCCCTTCTATAACCAAGGTCAGTCTGTTGATGGTGGTTCAATTCGTTGGCGGTGACAGCAAACTCCGACAGCGGCAAGCGGCGGCAAAGTTCTAACAGATTGGGGGCAGTAACTTGGGGAATATTTCTGCGACTGGCATCCGACGGGCAACATGGGGCCAACAGCTCCAACCCCAACTAGGGTATATCCGTCTAATCATAAATAAAAAATTCTATTTATAGCATTTTAAACCACTTAGTCCTACTTCCTTTCTTCTTTAAAAGATGCAAAATTGGAAATTTTGCACTATTTACACACCTTACTTTCACTACGATTTTCCAATAATATATATCAGCTTTAAGGTTCAAATACGCCCATGCACCCATTCGTGATGCTCAATTTACCCTCTAAAATAAAAAAAACTCCAATCAACATCCTGAACTCAATAAAAACATTCAAATTTCATTTTTTGCATGTTAAGATCCGGTCACTGCCACGTCATCCGGTAAGGTGCCAATTGTGCATCAATGAATGTCACAAAGTGCCTGATTCCTCCAGGTGACTCCTATTCAATGGGTCCACATACATCAGAATGGACAAGACTGAGTAACTCTGTATGGTTCTTTATGGCAGAATTGAAGGAAACTCTGTGTTGTTTCCCGAGTAAACAGTGCTCGCATGGATCTAGGGAAACACCTTTTTACCCATGGAAATGCTTTCCTTCTTATCAAGAGTTGTCAATCCTTTCACGCTCAAGTGGCCTAGCCTCCGGTGCCACAAGTTTGGTGATATTTCTCCTTCAAAAGCACTGAGACTTGGATGACACGACTTTGCATGAGTTTTATAAAGAGTAGCCAACTACTTTAGCTATTTGAATATTAATGTTTCGTTATTTTATGAATAAAACATATTTTGAATAATATTTTTCTATAATTCATTAAATTATGTCAATTCAAATGCTTCAGCTAGAATTTCAACCGATTTAGTCAAAATTGAATGTGACTAAACCAACTATTTATTTGTGAGGAAAGTGCTCAAAATGAGACTAAAACATATCATTTCCCCCAAAAATAGGATCATATGTTTGGTTTTTATTAAATAAGAATAAACATTACATATTTACCCCTTTATTGAATAGGATCAACTTTTTATGGTAGTGTTTTTCTTAGTTCATGCTCATTATTTACCAAGCAACAATGGATTGTTGTTTTACTTTTTTTTTTATTTTCAATATATTATTATATTATTATTAGTAGTGTTGTTGTCATCATCATGTTATTTTTAGTATGTATGTTATCATTATTTTATTTAATGGTGATGATAAATAGAGCTAGCCGCTAACAAGAATTACCTAACAAGACTTATATATTCCTAAAATCTAAAGTTATATTTCAATTTAATAGTTAAATTTAATACGTAGTATGGGCTGTATTGATTATTTTCCTAACTTGAGCAATCTAGATGAGTGTTTTTGGATACATCCGAAAAGAGTAATCTAGATGGGTTAAGTACTCAGTAAAGAGCATACAACGGGTTCCCTAAAATTTTGTAAGGTCGAGACACATGTACTCTCTAAATATAAAAGTAAAAAAATTAAATTTGAATAGGTGTAAACAAAAATAGGAATTCAAATTTTATAACATTACTCCTACTTAGAAAAATAATATCCACCCCATTCGTGATTAGGGAATCTCTTTTTCAGCATGTTAGACTTATGAGTCAACTTCTTTAATCAAACTCTTTAAAAAAACTTCTTTTATGAAACAAATAACATTTGATTCCGCACAATGAAGTATACGTGTAATTTTCTAGTTTCATAATTTTCTATTTTTATTTTATATTTCTATTTTCGCAATTTTGACGTATTTAAGACTTGAGGGGGTAAGTTGAACAATTCAAACAGATTCAAGGGCTTATTTGACCCGTAAGTTGCCACATCACATGCAGAGTTGGCACCCTATCGGGTGACGTGGCGGTGACCATATCGTAACCTGCAAAAAGTGAAATTTGAATCTTTATATTGAATTCAGTGTGCCAATTGAAATTTTTTTGAGTGCATGGGGCAAACTAAGCAATCCAAAAGGGTACATGGGCCTGTTTGACTCTTTAGCCTATATACAAGGAAAAGTGAAAATAATAATCTCAACTATTGTCGGTCCGCTAACAATAATCTCAACTATTGATTATTTTTGTATAACCCAACTATATATATAGACCGTCCGCTAATAATGGTCCATGACCAGATATCACCTTCTATAACAAGTGGATTTTAAATAGAAATTAAGCGTAAAAATTAAAAGTTGGGATTATTTTTAGAGATTACTTGCTACCTCCGTCCCCCTAAGTTTGGGACAAGAGAAGGTGGCACGGTTGTTAATAAAAGTGGGTTTATGTGATTGATATTGAATTGATAAAGTAAGAATAAAGTAGAAATGATTTAGAACCACACACACTTTACCAAATAAGGTATGAGACAATCTTAGTGGGACGGACCGAAAAGGTAAAATGGAACAATCATAATGGGATGGAGGGAGTTGGTATTTGTTGACTGACATGAAATAAACAGTGCTCGCATGGATCTAGGGAAACACCTTTTTGCCCATGGAAATGCTTTCCTTCTTATCAAGAGTTGTCAATCCTTTCACGCTCAAGTGGCCTAGTCTCCGGTGCCACAAGTTTGGTGATATTTCTCCTTCAAAAGCACTGAGGCTTGGATGACACGACTTTGCATGAGTTTTATAAAGAGTAGCCAACTACTTTAGCTATTTGAATATTAATGTTTCTTTATTTTATGAATAAAACATATTTTGAATAATATTTTTCTATAATTCATTAAATTATGTCAATTCAAATGCTTCAGCTAGAATTTCAACCGATTTAGTCAAAATTGAATGTGACTAAACCAACTATTTATTTGTGAGGAAAGTGCTCAAAATGAGACTAATGTCCACCCCATTCGTGATTAAAATTTTGTAAAGAGCATACAACGGGTTCCCTAAAATTTTGAGCACAGTAAAGAGCATACAACGGGTTCCCTAAAATTTTGTAAGGTCGAGACACATGTACTCCCTAAATATAAAAGTAAAAAAAATTAAATTTGAATAGGTGTAAACAAAAATAGGACTTCAAATTTTATAACATTACTCCTACTTAGAAAAATAATATCCACCCCATTCGTGATTAGGGAATCTCTTTTTCAGCATGTTAGACTTATGAGTCAACTTCTTTAATCAAACTCTTTAAAAAAACTTCTTTTATGAAACAAATAACATTTGATTCCGCACAATGAAGTATACGTGTAATTTTCTAGTTTCATAATTTTCTATTTTTATTTTTTATTTCTATTTTCGCAATTTTGACGTATTTAAGACTTGAGGGGGTGAGTTGAACAATTCAAACAGGTTCAAGGGCTTATTTGACCCGTAAGTTGCCACATCACATGCAGAGTTGGCACCCTATCGGTTGACGTGGCGGTGACCATATCGTAACCTGCAAAAAGTGAAATTTGAATCTTTATATTGAATTCAGGGTGCCAATTGAAATTTTTTTGAGTGCATGGGGCAAACTAAGCAATCCAAAAGGGTACATGAGCCTATTTGACTCTTAAGCCTATATACAAGGAAAAGTGAAAATAATAATCTCAACTATTGCCCGGTCCGCTAACAATAATCCCAACTATTGATTATTTTTGTATAATCCCAACTATATAGATCGTCCGCGAATAATGGTTCATGACCAGATATCACCTCCTATAACAAGTGGATTTTAAATAGAATTTAAGCGTAAAAATAAAAACTTGGGATTATTTTTAGGGATTACTTGCTATATCTCATCTCATCCACTTTAGAAAATACAATAATTTATTTATAGGGACCATTATTGGCGGAAGGTCCCTAAAGTTGGGATTATTCTGGAATAATCGATAGTTGGGATTATTATGAGCGGATCGCCAATAATTGGAATTATTACTTTCAATTTTTCAAATTGTTATATAATATATAAAATGTTACTCCCCCTTTCCAATCGGACTTTGTCAACTTTCCTTTTTGGTTGACTAAGAAAACTTTGTCACTTTCTTATTGTAGTAACTATTTTGTGATTATGGTGATTTATCTCTCCTCTGCACAAACGGTAAACACACAATTTTTGTTATTCTTATTTTTCATCTAATTCAAAGGTGTAAAGTCCATTGGGACGGAGGTAGTGTTAAACTTCTATTAATGTAAATTTCAAAAATATTAAGTTTTGTTAATATATACTAATATACAAAATTAAATATAATTACAGTCAAAGTTGTGTATTAACAAATATGAATGTCAAACTGTTGCAAATTTTAAATAAAATAGATGATATATATGAAATGACATTCTTTTGATCTTATTTGGAGAGCCCAGATAGCCCCTCTATTTATTTTCCTATTTACTTTGTAGGATTTACGGAGTAATTTTAAGATGTTTTTACTTGACTGAGTTTTTTTTTTGTATGGTCAGATGGTCTTGTCTAATCTGGTCCGATGTAGAACTGGTTTGTTTGGATCTAATAAATGTTTAATCTCTGTATATTTTATAAATATTGAAACCTGGTCTAGTTTGGTGATTCAAAAAAGTCAATGGGTAAAATTTGAATACTTGAATATAAAACCCTTAAAATTTGAATATTCAAATCCATCGCCAGACTTGCGAGTTTCGATTCTACAGACCACAGTGAGTAAACTTCACTCTTTTCCTTAGATCATTGGATAAGCAATGGTGAGGGAGAAAATGGGGAAGACCTTCACTGTGGCGAAATCAAGCATTATCGCAAAACCAGGTGGAGATTTTTACGAGGATGATCGGCACTTACTCGTGACTCACAATCTGAAACGGCTAACATCGTCAGCTACACAACTACGTGTCCTTGTTGCTGACTGCATCCGACGCACAAAAGTTTCTTCCTCCAAAGAACCGATTTTTATCTACATTATGGCCTCACGTCATCGCACCGTTTCTTCGAGACTCTTACCCGATACATATCGGTTCCCCACCGATATATATATCTGTGCTTGGGCGGAGGAAACCGAGCAAATCCCACCTCTGCATTCGGTAAATCCTCCATAGCTTCAAGCAAACCTTGCTCTAATAGTCCTTGGGTAAGCTCTGGTTGTGCTTGTTAGTTGATTTCCGCATGCTTATATGTGTTTTAGCTTTCGGTGCGTTTGTTGCAAGAGAAAGATTCAGTATTTGCTTGATAGCTTGTTTGCTTAAATTTGTATGCAAAGCTCAACTGTGGGGTTAAAATGTAGTTTTGGATTGAGTATTCAGGTGTTCAAGTGTTGCCTCTGATAAAATAGTTTTGGCTCAATTGATTCTTCATTCATCATGTTTTGGGTGTGGGGGGTATTTTATGGAAACATAGCAGGAATGAATCTGCTTATTTGGTTGTCTACTGACTTTCTGTTGATTCCCTTTGTGCTCTGTGATGGAAGCTATATAGCTAATGCAAAATGCTTGTTGCTTTTAAGCTCTGCCGGGTAGAGGAGGCGTACATGTGGTGTGGCTACACCCCATGAAACAAATGATCACTTCTGTATGAACTCAATTGATAATTTTGAACTTATTATTGGCAGCTAATCATCTGCTAATTCAGTTCTGGAGATGACCCGTTTTTACCTTTTTAGCAAAAGCATTATTACCTTTACATGGTTATTAAAAGTTTTAATGGGTTTTCTCGAAGTACATGGATTTTTTTTAAAAAAAATTACTGTTTATACTTTAAAAGGTGAATCTTTTACGTTTTTTTCTTTTACTTTGCGTTATCAACTTGTCTTTTAATATTATCATTCAAAATACATGTATGTTTCCAAATATTTTTATCTACATGGCATTAATCTTGTGTTCATAGCCGATATGGGAGGATTTTGCTGTGCTGCAAGGAAGCCTCTTCTCGAGAGAACCTCCTATGTGAGTACTCATTCGGGCTATATTCTACTTTATATGACTCATTTCTAACTCTTAGTCTTAACTTTACTAGTGGTGTTATTAAGGTACATAACATTATAGACCTTCTAATCTTTTTTATTATGTTTTTTCTGTTTGGTGGTCTTGAGTGTTCATTTTATTTCTCTTGATTCTTTTCAGTGCAAACGTTGTATAAAATAATTCGTTGAGATTGTAACATTCCTATTATTCATTGTATTGTTATGGTTAATATTATTATTATTATTTTTCTGCCTATTTTGACAGTATATGCCATCTTCAGAGGAGCAAGAGCCCCTAACTTCAAATCACAATGCCGCCGCAGGATATGTGGCTAATTTGTACACGTCACGCCTTGACACATTCCGCGCACCGCCCCAGCCTCTTCCGTTTGACATGCTCTATGGTTGTCCAAGTCCGTCACACACCACAGATCCAAGGTAAGTAATTGATCTGATTATACTCCATAATGAAACTGTGTGGTTAGATATAGATGTTTTGACTTGTCTATTCTTTCATTATGGAAATTTGACTTTGCATGGTTAATTTCAAGGCGTCTTTCCAGCCTCTCGCCTAAAGAAGAAGAAGAAGTTTGTCCCACTTGTCTTGAAGGTATGTGTCCAATCTTGGCAATAAAATTAATTGAACCCTATAATATCATGTGTTAATCCATCAAGGATTATTGATAAACTAATTAAAACCAAATGTAGTTAAATATGGATTTCCATGGACTTTCTTTAAACTGAGTTGAAATATTGTAAAAGTGACTAATTACCTAATTGGTGCTGAAAACATTGATTCTGAATTAAGGTGCTTCCAAAAATGTGACCAGACATGTAACTGCAGAGTTCTGCTGGACTATGCAATGCTGTTTCAAATTATGAATGTTCAACTCACACTGACCTATCAAGCCAATTATCTTTTTATTTAAGTTTAAATTCATTAAGAATGTCTAGATGCTTCAAGCTCTAAGATGATTCCTAGTTTACATTGAACCTTTCACGTAAAATAGTTATTATAAATGTTGGGATTCATCCATACTTAGATTTTGTTAAATTTTTGGTAAGTTTTGTTAGATTCCACTCCGTCCATCTCTATTCAACTTACTTGCTTCCTTTCGGTCTATCTATCGATAGGGGGGGTATTAAATAAGGGTAGTAAAGTAAAATAAGACATTTACTTGTGCCAAATAAGGATGGAGGAATGTGTTGCATATAATTTCCCTAACAGGTTTTGGTGGCCAGTGAAGTGCCAGTCTCATTATGCACAAAGATCTTTGCATGTTAATCTTAGTTGATTGAATTAGTTAAAACACAATCAAATAGTACAAAACATTAAAAACCATGAAACTACTGTGCAAAAAGGGACAGAGAGATTATTGGATATAAACCCTTGCATTTTTTTTTGGTAGCCACTTACATAATGTGCAAGGATATATATTCAACACCACATTCTAACCTTATCTGATTAAATTAGTTCCTTGAGTCTTTGAAGCAGTTTCTCTTATAGAAAGGTGTGTATATCTGCTCTATCTAAGCTAACTTTGAGGGTATGAAGTAAAATTTATGCAACACCTCCCATAAGTTCAACCTTAAGAACAAAACATATAAAAGTAGATACCTATTAATCCTATTAATGTATATTTTAGGCCCTTTCTCCCTTCTTTTCTTTCTCTTTTTCTGCTTGTCAATTATCATGATCAGGCACATGTGTGTCTTGGTTGCAGAGTACGATGATGACAACCCAAAAATAAAAACCCAATGCAACCATCATTTCCATCTCGCTTGCATCCTTGATTGGAGAAAAAGAAGCGACACCTGCCCCATATGCAATCAGGTTGGCCTTTTTTTTTGTTTTCTTTACCACTCTTGACGAATTCGGTCAACTTTTCCCAGCTTTGAGATTGGTGTTGTAATTTGTTGTGATGTGTGATGATAAATGAGACTTCAGTTTGAAGGTCAATTTGCTTTAGGTCAATGTTTCCATCTTGATCTTTGTCTATTTTTTTTTGCCAGGAAATGATGTATGAAAGTGAACCTCTGCGATACATAAAGGTTGATTAGCTGGACATTGCAGTCATACTGTTCTATGTAAAGGACACATAGATTTTTATTCCCAGTTTTGGATTTTTTTCTCATGCTTTTGTAGTCATGTTACACCTGTACAGGTCTCTTTCTTTTTTGTAATTTCATATATTATTCTGTAATTATTTTATCAGGCTGATTATGTTTTTTATTCATTATACAATCACATTAGTGATCAGTTTTGACATGCTAGCCGTTAAAAACAATTATTTTTCGAACTTTGGTAAAAGAACGTCACCCAAATTCTATTGGCTTTTGATATGAAAAACTGTTGACTATTGACTAGATTAGAATGTAGAGTTGTAGACATAAAGATGAGACTCAACAGCTCATTGGCATCTATTGTAGTGGTCAGTGGGATTGGTTGAGAACATATAGTATAATTGGTTTCTGCATTGTTGGTCAAGATGTTACCTGAACATAATAAATGGATATATGCATTCACATACTAGGGCTGTTGGTACGCAGTGCATCTGTGCATATCATTCACTACTTCCATATTGCTTCAAATGGAAACTGATGATACTTATAGAGGAGATCTTAATAGGTGATGTTTTTGGAAGCTGTTGTAGTCTTGCAGGCTCAGCTCGGGGGAAGTAGTTCAGAAGTAAAAAAATAGACTAGGCATGCATTTGGGTCGGTCCGCTCCCGAGCTGAGACCGCCTGGTCCCTGCAAAATATGGTCTAGACCGGGTCTGACTCGTATAATCCCGAGTCTTGGCCGGTTCCGGGTACCTAGCTGGTCTCGTTCCGAACCCGTTTCCATTATTTCGTTTTATGTTTTGCCCGGTTCCAAGCCAATTTTTTTTGCTGGTCGAGATTGAAATCGAGACCGGGACCGACCAGTTCGGTCTCCGAATTGTTTAACCAGGACTGTGTACCCCATACACCGGTCGGGTACCCGGTCTTCACCCAGAACCGAAAAAATGGACCCGATTCAGTCCCACACAATACCGTACCCGGTTCCAGACCGCCCGGCTGGGTCTATGCCTAAATTAGAGTATGAAATATGTTGAGGTGATGAATGGTAAATATCTCTTCCTTAAAATTTGGAAAATTATATTACTTGTTACACCTCCATAGTGAGTTGTTACGTTCAATCCTTTTTGCTACTCATACATTATAGGAAAAATTGAAAAATAACAATATTAATTATTGCCGATCTGCTATTAGTATCCTCAATGGGAAAACTGTCAAATAGGTCCTCGAACTTTCTTAAATAAATCAATTAAGTCCTTCTATAGGAGACTCTGTCCGGTCGTCGCGATTTGGGGTGGTGCTCGGTGGAATTTTTTGATGAAATTTTTTGAGCATCTTATTCATCAAGTCTAGTTTACTCATACCAAATTTTAGCTAAAAATTTAATCGGGAGCGCATTCAAATTAATTCGAGAATGCAAAAATACGCAGTTATCTTCAAGAATTAATTTGAATGTGTTCCCGATTGAATTTTTAGCTCAAATTTGGTATGAGTAAACTGGACTTGGTGAATAAGATGCTCAAAAATTTTCGTCAAACAATTCCACCGGGAACTATCCCAAATCGCGACGGCCGGACAGAATCTCCTATAGAAGGACTTAATTGACCTTTTTATGAAAGTTCGAGAACCTATTTGACAGTTTTCCCTATCCTCAATTATTAATAGTTTGGGTGTTCCCAACTATAAGAGTCATCTATCAATAGTACTCCCTCCGGATCTTTTTAAACTTCAGTGTTTGACTTCACAGGTTTTAAGGAAATAAAGTCGACCTTACTGTAGAGTCCACTGTTGAGACACTGTTTGGCGCTGTTGAGACACTGTTTGGCACTGTTGAGACACTGTTTGACACTGTTTAGCACTGTTTAACACTGTTTTGGTGTAGGTTTCTTTGCCAAATAAGGAAATAAGGAAGTGTGAAGTTTATTTTGGACCGTCTCAAAAAGGAAAGTGTGAAGTTTATTTAGAACCGGAGGGAGTAGTTCTTTGTGACCGATAACCGATTGTCCAAGTAAAAAAAGGATATTTGTTTATAATAATTCGAACGGTCCACTATTAATAATCCCAAATATTACAAATAGAAAATGTTAGAAATAAACTCAAAAAAGTAGTCCATTCTTAGTGTATGATTGTATGCATTTTCAGGTTCTAATGTATTGCATTTTTGGGTGTAATCATGGTAATTTTCAGGTACTAATGTATTGCATTTTCCCATGTCCTTGGATAAATTTTAGTTACATACGTAGTATATATATAACAAATAACAAATGGGTGGGGTGACATTAATGAAGAAACGTAATGGAAAAATGGGGAAGAGCTCCCCTCTCGCGAAATCAAGCAATCGCAAAAAACCAGGCGTAAATTTCTACGGCAATTTTCATGTGAGTCAGAATCTGAAACGGCTATCGGTGCATTGTCAGCTAGTCAACTACTCGTACTTGTTGCTTTCTGCGCCCGACTCCCCAAAATTTCTTCCCAATTTCCACCAAAGAGCCATTCCTTTTCATATTTTGGCCTCGCATCTTTGCATCATTGCAGTTACACCCCACACCTGATATAGAGAGATACCCCACTCGGAGTTTGAAAAAGTGTGTGAGAAGTGGAGAACTGAAACCCTTTTTACCTTCACTTCAATCCAATTGCTCTTCACCGAACCATATAACCCTTCAGTAAGCTCTTGCTATGCTTATAATTTTTCTTTATGTGTGTATATATGTATGCTCTTTCAGTGCGTTTGTTGTGAGAGGAAGACATGAATATTTGTGTGGAATGATGTTTGTTTGCTTAAATATCTTTGCAAAATCAAATTTTGGGGTTAAAGTTGGTTATGGGTTTTCCTCACCGCAGAAATATCAGCTAGCTCTATTGGCTCTGATCAATTGATTTTGGTGGATTGTTTAGTTTATTGAAACTCTGAAAGCATAGTAGGATTGAAATTGGTTTGGTTATTTGGTTGTCTGTTGATTTCCTTTTCGCCAATTCTGTGATAGATGTTAATTGCTTATAGTTTTGAGTTCCACCTGGTGGGGCTACCCTCATGAAGATAATAAAAAAGTAGACCATATCATTTCAAACTTTAAGAGCTATTTAGGAGTGTTTCTGCATGAACTTAAATGGCCAATTTTAGGAAATTATTGATGGCTAATCATTTGAAATCTTCTCATCTTGATCGGTTTTCTCCTCTTAACAATAATGTTCTTGTGTTTTACCTAGTCATTATAAGCTTTGAAGGATCTCTCAGTACATGGGAAAGAATAATTTATAAACCATAGCTTTATACTTGTAAGTGAACATTTATTATATGCCTTTTTCTTTATATTAAAGTATAATTTATAGATATTAAAGTACAAAAAATCTATTGTTACACATTTTTCATACACACACCTACACACTCATGTTTGTGAAGAATATTTTTTTGTCTGTATACAGACATAACGTATTTGAAAATGTGTTTTGTCTGTATACAGACAAAAAAATACTCTTCACAAACATGAGTGTGTAGGTGTGTGTATGAAAATGTGTACCTCAAGCTGGATTGATTAAAGTATAATTCATGAACTTCGCTTTTCACTTTTGTAGTAAAACGTACATGTGCTTTTATGAATATTTCTAATTTCATGCCATTGTTCATTTGTTAAATTTTTCTGTAGCTGGAATGGGAGGATGCTGTTGTTCTGCAAGGAAGAATCTGCTGCAGGGAACCCCTGTATTTCACTATGTGGGTACTCATTTGAATTATATGGTGTTTTTTATGTGAGACGTTTTTAACTTCTTACTTGGTCAGTGCTATTATTTAAGGTAGATAACAATCATAACATTAGAGATCATTTCTTCTTTTTTTGCAGTATGGTTGTGACTTGTGAGGCTTGATGTTGTCTCTTTTGTTAAATTTAGTGCAATTTTTTTATGAACAAGTATGTTGAGAGTTTGAATTTATTATTAATATTATTAATATTATTACTATTAATATTAGAGGGTCTTTTGGTTTGTCCTATAATATTACTAGAGTAAAATCTATGGATAAAGATACGAGCACATCATCATTAGAGTCAGTGTGAAAATCCTACTACAATGGAAGATCACCATACTATTACTACCCAGTACCCACCACAGTCACTACTTTGTATAAGTCATGTTTTTGTCCATCACTTATTTTGGTCAATTACTTGTCACAGTATCTTATTATTATTATTACTATTTCGACAGTATTCGCCGTCTTTAGAGGAGCACGAGTCTTTGACGTCAAATGACAGTGCAGCCACTGGATTCACAACTGATTTGGACCTTGATACCTCAAGCCCCGACACTTTTCACCCGCCACCCAGGCCGATTCCATTTGATGCACTCTTGGGGTGTCCACAACCATCTGATGCCATAGATTCAAGGTTCAGTAAATGCAGTGATTAGACTTCCTATAGCTGTGATAAAACACTACGTAGATATTAAGGTTTTTGACTTGTCTCTTCCTTCTTCAAGGAAAAATGAGCTTGAGCGTTTAAAATCAAGTTCGCTTGCCCTTTCCCTGGACGAAGAAGAGGATGTTTGTCCCACTTGTCTTGAAGGTATGTCTACAATCATAGCAGCTGAACTACTTGAATCGCATAATATTTTGTGCTAATTGCATGTCAGCCCACTTTTTCCATCATTTGCAATGGAGCCAAAGATTCATTATTTTTTGACTTGAGAATATGATGGAATAAAGCAAAATGGCTCGTTAAACTGTCTGCGCTTCTTTGTTATGAAGCAGCAGTCAGTCCATGCAATTTTGGACGCGATTTTCACTATGGGTCATCCGGAAACAGTCTCTCTATGCTTTAGTACAGGGGTAAGACTGCGTACATCCGACCCCCTTACCCCACCGTAGGTGGGGAGCCTCTGCGGCACTGGGGTAAATGAAAATGATGAAAATGATGATGCATGTCAGCCCACTGAGGAGTACTAATAAACTACGTATTTTTTACCAAATTAAGCTAACTATGGAATTATTTGAAGCCATTTAATACTTAGTTAATAAGGTAAAGTAATTATCATTCATGTTGGCATTGATTTATGTCCAGTTTTTGTGAAATCTGAGGCAGGTGTTGTTACAAGCTACTCCCCTCCGTCTCTAATTAAATTCTTGCTTTCCTTTTCGGTCTATAACTAAATAATGTCTGTCCTTATTTGGTTAAAATAAAAGACTTCATTTACTTTACTACCCTTTTTTTATATGCCAACATACCACTGTTTATCATTCTCAACTACATATCAGCAATGGAAAA